CGATCTTTTAAAATGCGTATAATAACAAAGTCCTCCGCTGTTGCTGTCTGTCTGTTCACGATCAATAATTCTTTCAGTAAGATTTTCATGCTGTTTTCACCAATAGATAGGGTGTTTCATGATGAAGGTCTCTGTAACTTTCAGTCGTCGTTCGTCGTTGTCGTTTCAGCCAAATGACGTCCACTGCTGGTCAAAGGCCTCTCCCAAGGATTTCCATAACGACCGGTCCTGCGCTGCCCGTAATCAGGCTCTTCCCGCGACCTTCACCAGATCGTCGGTCCACCTGGTGGGAGGTCTGCCCACGCTACGTCTTCCAGCCCGTGGTCGCCACTCAAGAACTTTTCTGCCCCAACGGCCATCGTCTCTACGAGCTATGTGCCCCGCCCACTGCCACTTGATTTTGGCAATTCTGCGAGCTATGGAACTTTCTGTAACAGACCGTAATTCACACGGGCGAAACCGTAGACAAATGCTAATTTAACATAACAATGCTCATACTAAAATATGTCCTTCGTCGCATTCGAACCCGTAATCAAAGCCTTCTTGTAATTCATCTAAACAATACCGTGATCTACACACAAATACTGATTGATTTCTCAAAATCTTCTCACATAACATCCCCAAAATAGAATACAGAAACCCTGGAACAATACATGTTCCCTTCGACAAATAACGAAGCATTCAAAACGTCACAAAGGTTCACGTTTGCTAGGGTGCGAAAGGGGGGTTACCTACGTATTAACTTACCCCTTTTTCTGGGTATTTCCCAGGTTCATTAGCCGATTAGAAAGGCTTTTATATAACAAACTGCTGAAACACGACACGAATGAGCTGTCATTGTGCTGAAAACAATGGGTTATTTTGGTAGAAGTAAATACTTTAGCTTTATTAGGATGCATGGATATTCAGCTACATAATAAATAAGGTATAGAAGTGTTCTATTTTAATAATGTTCTTAATGTCTCGTCTCACTACAAATAAAGGTACACAAATACATAGTTTCAAAGTTTTCTAGACTCATCCTCATCAAAACTCTACTATGAAATATGAAACCAGAGGATACAAATTAAGTATACTTACAGAAAACACCAGGCCTTTGTCCAGCAGTGGACGTCTTTCGGCTGAAACGAACGAACAGAAAACACTACGATTTTCATGTCAGTTTTATGATAATTGTATTTGTTCAATAATACTCTTCTCTTATTGTTCTAACAGATTAAATGCTTCAAAATGAAGTTAGTAAGTTGAAATAGTAAGAAATCTTCTTAAAAGCATCAACAGTGTGGACTTACGAGATAGACTGGAGAGCAAAATAAATGCAAACTTAGTTCCAAGAAGATTGTACAAACAACTGAGAGAGAAGCAGGTTTCTAGGTTGCATTTATTAAATAAAACGTTGTTCTCTTTGATATTAAAATAAATGAATTAATTTTGGCTTAGGTAAGTTAACATACCACTAAGTAACTATAAAATCTCGTTGCTAACTTAGGTGTGGTCTCTCTTGCAATTCACTGTGTTTTTTTGATTATTTTTTGTTCAATCGATTTTTTTAAATCTACAGAATCACTTTAAAAAACGTGCTATGCTTTTCTATTCAGTTTTTCTTCTCCCTTTTTTATTTTTCCGAATATAAAAGTGTAGTTTCGTAAAAGAAAAAATACTTAAGTTTTTAAGCTTTCGCATTGGCTTTGAAAAGACTTTAGTCTTAAATATTACTTACTAGCTTTCCGCCCGCGGCTTCGCCCGCGTGGAATTTTGTCTGTCACAGAAAAACTTTATCGCGCGCGTCCCTGTTTCAAAAACCGGGATAAAAACTATCCTATGTTCTTTCCCGGGACTCAAACTATCTCTATGCCAAATTTCATCAAAATCGGTTGCGAGGTTTACCTAAGCGGGAAAGCGTAACAGACAGACAGACAGACAGACAGACAGAGTTACTTTCGCATTTATAATATTAGTTGGGATAATAAGTGCCATTGAACTTCGGTCATAGAACCCAACACTTAATTGTTTAAAATAATTACGCTCGCATTAATTGACACCTCACGTTTACTAAATGAAATTGCCGATCAAATAACGTGGGAGGGAAGCCCTAAGCTCATGTTGCTTTTCCAAGAAACCTGTAATAATTCATGCACACGGAACTTATCAGTTTATTATTATAACCTTTGCGCAATAGTTGGTATATAAGTATAACAGATTAAAAATGAGAATAGTCTGATTGATTGGATCAGTATCGATGATATGACAAACATTTAATTTTCTTGCCAGCTGAGTGAATTTTCATTGTATCATTGTTAGACAGCACAGTCATATTAACTCGTAATCCTAATGAATCTAGGGTGATGAAATACTAATTTTTTTTGTCTATTTAATGTGTCGATATAAATTATTCGGTTTTCGGCAGTACAGAGTCAATAATTATCAAAAATTCCAGTAATTGGTATGAATTTAATAGTTTTCGTGAACTTTTCAAATAAGCCAATAGTTATTTACGTACTCTAACTTCAGATCCTAAAGTAAATAATTAAGAGATTGAAACTCGAACGAAAATTTCTGCAAGGAATAATATTACTGCCAAATTAAAAACGAGAGGTTAGTTTTAATTTTAGAATAAAAAAAATATAATTTTCTTAGCTTTTAAAATTAAAACAGCCACAATTTATAATTCAGTTTTTTACCCAAGTTTTATAGAAGTCTATTTTGCATGAATGCTAATGCGACAATTAAATTTAAAGTGAAGATCTATGTACCGATACATAAAACGCCAATAATCTAAAATTAAAAGCGTTTTGTCACGGCATCCATGCATTTTCCAAACATTTGACTTTATTAGGATGGCACAGTTCAATCAGTTAAGTAAACTGCACGGTTTGAAAATGTTAATTTTGTTATTCTTGCTGATATTTGAAACAAAAGCGAGGGTAAATCCATTCGGCCCAACAATCATCAATGACTACGCTGGTTGTATTATTCAGCTAATGGAAGAGAATTTCAAAAATTCTGGACTCCTTGTATTTGCAGACACAGACGATGTTAGCAGTTCGGTGGCAAGAATTCGTGGAGAAATTTTGAAATACATCCACCAAAGTATTCACTATTCCGTTCAAGTTTCAAGTCCTGACAGTGAAATGATAATTTGCGGAGACGATGAAGATGTAGATCCTCTACATAAATCGGATGTTTTCGTTGAAGCGGTGCCTCCTGCTGAATACTTTATTATCATCGTTGACAACTTCAAAGATTTCACTCACCTTATGGGTAAACTTATAAGGTCGCGTAGTTGGGACCCGAGTGCTAAGTTTATTGTATTACTTTTCAACAATGCATCAAGTGATGAAACCAACGTTCACTTTGTTGAGAATATTCTTACCTGTTTATTCAGATATAATGTTATTAACATAGTAGTAATCGTGCCTCAAGCTAATAAAATCAGAAACGCTTTCGTATATGGATGGAGACCGTATGATCCTCCTGTGTATTGTGGTTATAGGAATGAAACAGCTAAAAACAGACTAATTAAAGAAAACATTTGTGAAGAAGGTAAAGTAAAATACAAAAAAGATGCATTTGGGGATCAAACTCCAAGTAATATGGAGGGTTGTGTTCTATACGTTCTTGCTCTAGAAAGGCAGCCCTTTGTTAGTTCAGATGATGAAGATCCTAATATTGAAAAGCTATTGATGACAGAAATGTCGAATAAATTTAAATTCAAAACAAATTATGAGATTATCAACGCGTTTAGAGGTGAAAGAGAAGACGGACAGTGGGACGGCGCTTTGAAAGAGTTAATTACGGGAAGAGGAAATGTTTTATTGGGAGGAATATTTCCAGATTTTGATGTCCACGAAGACTTTGCATGCAGTGAAGCATACTTAGCAGATTCATATACTTGGGTTGTACCAAAAGCCTATGCGTCTCCACGTTGGTTGGCCTTAATAATTATATTTCAGAAAGTTGTGTGGATTTCTGTAATATGCGCTTTCATTGTTTGTGCATTTTCTTGGAGTATTCTAGGCCAAATGAGTAATGATACAAAATATAACAAGTCATTTGGTCACTGTTTTATCAGTACTTGGATATGTACATTAGGATTCGGTTCATATTTTCGGCCTACCAAAGAAAGTTTGAGAGTTTTCTTCGTTTTCTTTAATTTGCATTGTATACTATGCTTGACAGCTTACCAAACTAAGTTGATTGATGTTCTAAGAAACCCATCGTTTGAATATCAGATAAAAACTGTTGAAGAATTGGTTATGAGCGGGTTAAAGTTTGGTGGGTTTGAAGAGTTGCAGGATTTGTTTTATAATTCAAGCAACCCTTTTGATTATCGTCTTGGAGAACAATGGATAGATGTAGACGACATATCTAAAGCAATGATAGACGTGGTTGTTCATCGAAATTTCTCGCTACTCTGCAGCCGTCTGGAGCTGGCCCATCTCTCAGCGAAAATGCCAGAACTCAGTGATAGCTTTGGAAATTATAAGTACTACCCTTTTGAGATGAATGTCTTCACAGTACCAATGGAGATGGTCGCTATGAAAGGATTTCCTTTCATGAATGAGTTTTCAGACACATTGGGAATATTGAAACAAATTGGAGTCAATGATGTTATAAAACGCTATTTTGATTCTTATACCAAGAGAAAGAGAGCGAAAATTTTGCATTCTATTGAACAAAAGAAGCCTGATATTGATGCACTGACTCTGCAGCATTTACAAGGAGGCTTTTTGGCTTTAACACTTGGGTATATTTTCGGAACTTTTGCATTGTTGATAGAAATTATTGTTAGCAATCGTTATGTCAAAAGTAAGTTATCTCAATGTAAGGCTGCTTTCAAAAGAGACTAATCTTAAATTTAGAGGAACGAAAGATAGTAAATATTTACTAAACAAAACATTTATTCATTACGAAAGTGCTTATCATTAATACAATATTGTTAATGCTGTACAGGTTCTAGATTACAATAACAACATTACTTATGCATTACTCCATTTTTATTTATCTAAAGACTAGTTCTTAACTACACGAGTAAAACTTATGCTAAAAGTATTGCCATACCCTAAATTAATCTCAGTTTTATTTTACCTTTTTTATTTAATATGCATAGCTTGATGCAAATGACCATAGCGAGATCTGATAATTTTGAATCGTAGAAAAATTATGACAGGGTTATTGGGACCAATAAGGACCGGCAAGTACCTCAACTGTAGAAACTATGTTGAGAAACAGCTTGCTTTATTGATTAATTATGGTGTTTTTTTTATATATTTTGTAATTTATGCAAAATCATACCAGTGAAATCATTAGTTACTTTTAAAGAGAAACATTTTACGTATTTTTTTCGAAAAGCATGATCGTTTTTCAATTATTGTCTTAACTAAACTTAAATAAAACTGTTTTACGAAATTGCCCTTTTATTTACATTTTTTATTTGGGCTTCAACTTGCAGTTTTGGTTTCGTTTTAGCAATGGCTCACTATTTTAAGTGGACGGTTACAACTTCACTGCCCATACGCATCTGTACCCATAAAAGACGCATCTGTACCCATAGCAGACGCATCTGTACCCATTAAAGTCAAAATCACAATGTCTTGTAGATTTAAAGTTTTTCTCCGTCCAAATGTTGCACGTTATAGTACGAATGGTCGGGGAATCTTTCCAGCTCGATGTAGTCGGTTTCAGTGCATAGCAGTCGTTCCAACATGGCCACGACTTCTGGAAAGTCTGGACGGTCTGTAGGCTTCGCCTCCCAGCAGTAGTACATGATGTTGTAGAGTTCGCGGCGACAATGCTCTGGCTTTTCTAGACGATAGCCGCTGTGTACCTGTTGAAATAAAAATGGAATTAACTTCGTAATACTTGTATTATAACCCAAACTTAATACAGTGTCTGATTTGGTGTAAATGGCCATGAAGATCATTCGACTATTTCTTAAAGAGAGGACTCTAGAAAAATAGTTCGTTCGAGTACTTGAATAAAATATTCGGATTGTTGTTATTAATTTTTCACAAATCTATGATAGCACTAATGAAATAAAGAAAGAAAGAAAAAATGTTTATTTGGCACCAAACTACATCCACTTAATGGTACCCACTGCCCATGGCGTGAATTATAACTGTTTTAAATAACGTCAAGTTTCATGCCTTCAATATGCATAAACGACCCTGTTGTCTTGTTTCTAGGTTCGATTTTCAGATGGGATAACACAAATTTAATCAACCTGATTGTTTGAAAACAAAGTTTCCATGCAACGATAACGATAAGTCCTTTGCCACCAAGGTTGTAACCTTAGTTGTTACAACCCAAACAAAGGAAGAAGATTAATCTATTCAACCAAATGTTTATTCATTTGTTACCTTCCGCATGACGTCACCAGCGGACATGCCTGGGTAAGGGGTGGAGCCGAGTGTCACGATCTCCCAAAGCAACACTCCGAAACTCCATATATCAGACTTTACACTGAAGATGTCGTCGTAAAGAGACTCGGGCGCCATCCATCTGAAAAAAAAGACGTATAAATTGAACCTTATCTGTAAAGGTTCAAGGCTAAGTTATTTGTTGTACAATCAGCGTCAAATGGTTCGAAACACGTCTTTGTTACAATTGGAATCAGGTTGCGTTGTCAACTTTTTGGCCACTTTGAGTGTCACGATCTATTTGATGCTGACTGTACTTGTTCTTCGAGAACTAAGTGATTGGACTAGATTTTAGTATCTATTGAAGCTCATTAACGTCAGTTGTCCATCGTTTGGTAGATAGATAGAAGAGAGTAAGATAGAAATAGTTTATTGATACAAAACATTTAAGAAGGTTCGTGACAAAAAAAGGTATAGGTAAAAACTGTGCCAACAGGCCCCCCCGCTCAGCATTTATCGTGAAATGCCCTTTCGAGCATGCTATGGTAGCTGATGTTAAAACTAATCCGATAAAAAAATTATATAATCAAGTAACTCGTAGCATGTCTAAAGAGACATTTGATTGTATACGAGTGTAAATTATTATAGTAGCGAGTAGTTTTATAACAATGCAATTTATCTGTCCCAAATGCAAAATGATTTCATATTATATAGAAACAAACAAGTTTTTATAAAAATATCATCTAAGACGTTCATCATGTTATATTAATATTTATTTTATTAAAATAGAACAATATCGGAATTTTATTACTAATTCCCAAAACTAAAACTATTTTTAGTATCCATTCGCAAGAAATCTAATACTAATACTACAATGTAATAGTTCAATTTCATCATGGAATACAAAGACAGTTTCGGAATAAGGGGAAGCCTAAAAATAACTTAATCAAACTTCTCAGACCTGCCTAGAATAGCAGCAACGTGAGGGAATCGTGGAATGGAATAAAAACTATAGATAGCCCAGGCCTAGACTGAACGTGACGTGTCCCAGTTATGAATTTTTCTAAAGTAGACTGCAGAACAAACTTGGATTCATATTTGTATCTTTCGTTAGGTTTTAGTTGGTACTTTCATGTTTTAAAGGTGTTTTTGATGGTTGTTTTCACTTCAAATAAAATTTAGCTAAGTCAACTCTTGCGAAAAAAAAGTAAACTATAATTTTACAGACGGTTTATGCTACCTAAAAATTCTCACCATTTCGATGGGTGCCTGGAATAAAGCCGCAATAGCCATAGCAGCAGTTTTCCGATTAAGTGATTTTAGTAAACTGCGGGTCCCTATACACCTTTTGAATTTTTTTCAGAATTTTATCTTTGAAACTGCCTGATTTACCAAAAGCACTATGGATATTGAATCGTTATTCCCATTCATCATTTAAAATTTGTTGACCGGAATAATCGTGCCATATACAATGTTAAAACTTTTATTAAGTCTTCTACAAGCAAACGGCTATTACTGTATCCTTCAGATCAGCGTCCGAGGCTGCAATACACTATTGCTGTTTGATTAATTGCACACTTTTTACCGGAATAAAACCACAATGGACTCTTACGGAACCGACTTTCAATGTATGAAGCGGCAATATGTATTTCTACCTTTTTTAAAGTATATTCTAAGCACTATAACCTTATGCACATTAAATGTTACTCCAGAAAAAATAACGCATCGTTTGATATACAAACCGTTTTGATACGCCTCGTATTATTCAAAATTGACACTAAATCTCTTCTCCTGTAAAATTGTGTTTTGTCGATTGTGGCTTTATTCCCGGCACCCATCGATTTCAATCAGGCCATTAAACGAGTTGAAACAACTGGGTTACTAGAGGAAAATGTATCTATGAATGTCTACGACATAAGTATTTTATGCCTCTCATGTTCATTTTGTTTGGTGAAACTAGGGTAGGGTAACTTAAGGGTAGCCTTTCGAACTAAGCGTCACAGACGCAGCGTCTTTAGCTTTGGTCTTAAAGGTAGCCTTTCGAAGCGAGTAAGTGACGCTTAGTTCGAAAGGCTACCTTAAGCCATCTCCTTTCGATTAAATCTTGTCCAATGCTCATAAAATCTTATCTCAATCGTACCCATATTATAGAAATGTAAAAATAGAACTGGCAAAACTGCTCATGTATGCAGACTGCAGCTGTCCCTTGATAAGTTGGAAGTTGGTAAACTTAGCTTGACTCAAGAAAGTTAAGTATTCCCAGTAGCGAGGCGGAATCAAGTCCCGACCAGCTGTTTGGCAAATTAATTTCAGTCGACTGTACATCCTGAAAGAGCATACAGTAAACTGTATTTTACATAACAACATCTGAGAATCTTAAACATGTCTTTTGCTAAGGAGATAAAAGACATTTTGAACGTTTTAAATCTGAGCAGTACAGTCTGCAATATTAAACAGCCAGATAAAAGAGGTTTTGCTGTTTTCCAGAAAAATAAAATAGACAGTGAACTGGCAGACAACGGATTTTTGTGTCTCAATCTTAAGCCCCTACATGTTTTAAAGACTCTACATTGGCAGACTACTCTTGTTAAGTTTTCATTTGTTTGGAGAGTCGTTAAACCTTAAAGCTCTGTAAGCTTCATTTGTGGTAAGAGTTTAATGCCACTTGTGCCCATAAAAACTTGTGAGAAGGTTTTTTTTAATACTCACAAGTATTTTGAAAATGCAATTTTCTCTATCCATTTAGTGTCGGCGCACACTAGACGACACGTGACAGCGACAGCTCGACGAATTAGACGCGACGACAGGCTGCAGCTGACATTGTTCAAAGCTTCGCACACTTGGCGTCAGAGTCGCAGAGTCGCGACCACAAGCTAATATATGAAATTGACAAGAACAGGCGTCTAATCGCCCAGTGCGCGCCCACACTAAATGGATATGCAAATCGTTTTTTCAAAATACTTGTGAGTATTTAAAAAGGCATTTTAAGTTCTTGTGGGCACAAGTGGCATTAACTCTCACCGCAAATGAAGCTTACAGAGCTTTAAGGTTTAACAACTTTCCAAACAAATGAAAACTTAAGCTCTAAACTATTTTTGAGATTAGTCGAAGTGAATATTTTCCATTTCTGTAACTTCATAATCACTACAATATTTAATTTGTCAAACAATTGCCCAAAGCTATAAAATTGTAATTGGTGTTGTTTTGTTATAGTTAAGTCAACTGCTAGTTTATCAATTAATGTTACTTCAAGTCAAACTAAGTTGTATTTCTGCGAATAATATTAAGGTAAAATTCTATTATAGACTTACTTCACCGATCAATAATGTTTAGGTTGGCTGGAGTTGTTCTATTTATATCCGGCTGCGTACATAAAATTGTTATTGTGGTGGTAGACATAAGTTAGATGGTGGTAGTAGCCACCAGGAGGACGGAGAATGGTGGTAGTAGCTAGCCCTACAAAAATTTTGTCCCCACTGTGAATCAAACCCATGATTTCTGTTTCCAAAGCTTACCTAGTCCACATAGGTCTTTATGAAGGCATCTAAGATATACATTATACATGATTTTTCACAACAAGCTCTACCATTAACCAAATCGAGCAGAGAATTTTGCCCTCACTGGCAATCGAACTCGTATTCTCTGAGTCCAAAATAGGTGATCTTACCACTAGACCGCATAGGTCGTATGAAGCCATCTGAGACATGGATTATTAGGTCAATCCATCGCAATGAGGATCTCAAGGCCTCCACAATCGTCCCTGTTAGCTGGGGCACTCATATAGAATGCCGACATCCGAGACAGTTAACCAGATCAATCAGCATCCAGGATCTAGCAAACGGTTGATCTAGTCGGCGTTGCTTTGCATAACCAGATTAACTGACGTTCGATGAAATTGACACTGTGTAGAGTGTACTTTGTGAATTGTTTGGGTTTATTGTCAGTATTGTCTTAAACCCATGAACAGCTCTATTGGCAAGTCAGTTAATTAGTTATAATATCAGTAATTAATAAGCTTTAAGTACCATGCTATAAGAGAAGAGTAAAACGAGTTCCACAAAAACCGAGTCTTAAAGGCCGTAGCACATTTATCAACCCGGAAAGGGATCGTGACCGTGTCATCTCGAGGCGGTCAGTATTCTTTGTATGAAACTCCATACTTCAACGCACACTTATCCGTAACGTGCGATGCGGATAAGTGTGCGTTGTGATGACAGCTCGCGAAAGGCGATACGATGTTGATCCCTTTCCGAGTTGATATAATATGTCTGGTATGACCTTAGGACTGGGCGCAGACCACCGATTTTTAGTTGACCGATAGTTGTGCCTGATTTTAAATTGTATGAAGAATCGGCCCAATTGAATCGGTGTATGTGCGCACTTCCATAGATGCAAATACTGATCAACTGTCCGACTAAACTATCGGCCGACGAAAAATCGATGGTCTGCGCATAGGCCTAGAGTCAACTTTATTATAATTTCTGCAAATACGCTAAGAACCGCTTTGACACGTCCTAGTATACATTTTAACACAGCTACTGCTTCCTTTGTCACGTCCTCAGTCACGTCTCAGTATAGGTACATTTAAACTCTACCACTGCTTTGGGCCAATAAAGTGTTAATGCTTATAGTTCTTGCAACTCACGAAAGTGAATGAGCTTTGTTTGTGTACGTGTAGGTACATGCACAATGCACATGCACAACGATATTGTAATGTCAATCAAAACTTGAAAAATAAACATGTAAAGCTCACTCGCATTCGACGATGAAAGATCCGCTAGATGTCGGGACGTGGATGTGGGGTCTGACTGCTACGTGATTGGTGGATTTTGACATAATAATATTTTATCTGTCAATGTCATGTCAAAAATAATAAATCATGCAGCATTTGGACCTCGCGTCTACGTATTGCCATTTGGCGGATTTTTCACACGCGAAAACCATCATTACAACAACTACACTACAACTACACTAGTTTTTTTTTTCACTTTACCTTATGGGTAGACGTCCATCGCTCTTTCTTTCATACACGTGTGTACCTCCGACGTCTCTCGCGAGTCCGAAGTCTGCAACCTTACACGTTCTCTCTTCGGTTATGAGCACGTTTCTTGCTGCTAAATCCCTGTGGATTATCTGGAAATGAAAGAAATTTTCGGTCTTTAAAAACAGAAAGTCAAAAATCTTGACTATTTATGAAAATGATTCACACCCGTATTCACAAACATTACTATGAGGTTTGACAGTGCGAGTGGACGCACAGGGTCACTCACGGACCAGTTACAGAGGAGCTCTATTCAACACTATGGATTCGATTTGCTGCTTCACTTAAGCAAGCATCGTTTGTGAATACGGGCGTTAACTATCAGGTAAATACTCGTAAGCATCACTACCTATTCTTTTTGTTATGTATGTACATTATGGAATCACCCCTGCTAAATTATTATGTAACTAGCTTGCGCTCACCCGCGTGAAATTCACTTCTCATGTCACAGATCGTTAAACTATAGCCTATATGTTATTCTAGGTTATAAACAATTATACTGTAAAGTTTCATCAAAATCCGTTCAGTAATTTTTGCGCGAAAGAGTAACAAACATCCACACAAACTTTCGCATTTATAATATAAGTAAGATTATTCCTTTGATAGCAGGAAGTTAGTATCATAGACGTTTCAAAGGTGACAAGATAATTAAGTTGTGAATATCTAATGACCCCCATAATAATTAAATACCGTTGAGAACCTGAATATATTGTCGACTTATCACCATAATAATATATCACGCACGTGATGTTATAATAGTGGTACGGGGAAATGCCTCCACTTAGAGCCAAAGCACACGCACGATGCGTTGCGGCGACGGTGCGATACCGGAACGGTGTCGCTGCGTCGTCGTACATAGAGATATCTGTGGCGGGCACATGAGCGGTATGACGCCGGTCGCGCGTTAAGGCGAAATTTTTCAGCATCAGCAACAAATTTTGCAGCTCCTCAACGCATCGTGTACTATGGCTCTTATAGTTTGCGACACACCAAGGTAAACATCGTGGCATATTATGTGGCTGTAAATAGTTTGTTATGCTTTCAACTGTACATGCTAAAATACATGGTGTTATAGACAGATTAGAAAAGAAATACAGAGAACTTCCCGGATATTGCAGTTTGAAGAGAGGAAAAAGAAAAAAGTTGTTTTATTGGTCTTTCATTTCCGGGATAAGGCAACTAATGATGCTAAGTATCCTGTTTGACCTTGTTTGACTTTGTGCTCTAATTCACCGTCGAAAGTTTTTGCGAACCCAGTGTTATCTGCCTATTCATTAATCTATTATTAACGCCACTGTGAATTAGCGGTGAGATAGTGAGACTCTTGAATCAGAGATATTTCATATACATTACGATGTGTGAATAAGCTCTACTTAGGCTGATTTGAACCACCTAACTTTAATGGTAACTAACGATAACCGGTGCTTTTTGTAAGGAGTTTTACAGATATTTGACGTGGCAATGCTGCCAGCCTTTTGGGCACCATTCCTGACTGCGGCGCTGGGGGTGAAGTATTTTTTATTTTGTAAATAGTTTTTATCATTTGTAATTTTTAAATTTTAGTTTTTAAGTCATTTTAAGTTAATGTATTATTATAAAATTTATTCTCTAATAAATAACCGGGCTTTGACGTTTGTTAAAATCAAAATAAGATGGTGCAACCCAGCCTTAGTGTTTTATGGTGTGCCATCGTCATAATGTCCATAGTTAGTGCACAGCTAGACACTCCCCTTATACATGTCGTTTTACTGTCTTCAGCGTTTCGCTACCAGCTTCTGCCAACGACTCTTCGCAAGTCCTCACTTCACCAGATAAAGAACATCCTACACTACGCTTCATCATCATTATCATCATTTCAGTCCACTGCTGAACATAGGTCTCCCCCAATGACTTCCACATCGCACGGTTGGTAGCGGCCTGCATCCAGCGCCTTCCTGCTACCTTTATCATGTCGTCGGTCCACCTTGTGGGTGGACGTCTAACGCTGCGTTTTCCGGTACGCGGCCTCCATTCCAGAACCTTGCTCCACCATCGGCAGTCAGTTCTGCGTAATATATGCCCTGCCCACTGCCACTTCAGCGTGCTAATCCATCGGGCTATGTTAGCGACTTTAGTTCGTTTACTCTACACTTTCCGAGACGCATTGATGTGATCGTTTGATCACTGTATTTTTCTATCTATTACTCTTATAATCGCATTTTTCTACTCACCCCTTTTGAACTTAGGAACTCCATCCCTCTAGCAACTTGGAACGCGAAGTGCGTCAGGTCCCTAGATGTGAGGAACTGACTTCCATGCGTGTTCCCGTAATGCCGTTCCGCTCTGGAGTCTCTTAGGAACTGCTGCAGCTTGCCTATGCTCACGAACTCCATTATCACTAGGGTTGGCTCCTGGAAAAATAGGAATTTTAGTCTTAGAATGCGACCAAATGACTCAATCACTTTAGGTTACTAGTCACCATCACAATATTAAGACGCAAGGTGTCAAATGGTTGAGTCCAAACTACAAGTAATGCCGCAAATTCCGCAACTTAAAATACAGGAATTTTTAGTATTTTCATCATCATCATTTCAGCCACACATACTAGCCACAAAAATGCACTATATTCTACATTGCCCGGTTGGTTGCGGCCTGCATTCAGCGCATTTCTGCTACCTTTATGAGTCTTTCAATGGGACGAACTAACTGCCTCGCTTTAGGTAATGGTGGCTATCACAATTTATTATGACGTCTACAAAGTTTCCAATGGCCACGTCAGGCCACAAGAAAACTTCACATTACGTAGTTTATGGTGGTCTTTGTGGCCTTACCGTAGTCACCGCAAGTGCCCGAACACGAATGGGAAACCCTGTCATCATACCAATTGATTAATTGACTCGCCGTAACATTGAGGTCCTATTCGAGTGAATAAAACTAAGGGAAAGGGGAGTAAAGTTAGTTTGTAATCCCGATATTAAAAACTATCTACTCAAAAGTATAGGTTTAGGTTTTGGGATCAAAACTTTTAACTTTACGTAAGCGAAGTCAAGGGCATCCGCCCATTCGGGTATAAAATATTCGTACTCGACAATTAAAAGATTATATAACGTACGGGCCTGGAAAGATAGCGCTAATAGGGTCAAGGGATTAGTTATGACGGGTCTGCAAAAGTTATTTTATACTGGAATAAAATTTCATAAAAAAGGCTTATTCTAGCAATATATATCATTTAATACAGTCAAGTACGGACGTTCGCTAATGCGATGGACAGACCAGATCAAGTCCATTTTAGTTGTCCTCTGCACGAGATCACTAAGTTGACCAAAGAGGAAAGATGGCGAGATATCGTTATGCGAGTAAAATTCACTCACAGCAAATCACAACTCTGCCGATCTCGACCATTCTGNACGAAAGCACGCACGGACTTCCCCGAGCGGATTTAGTTAAAGAAAGATAGCACTTGCGCGCGCGCGTGAATCTTATACGTGTTATAAGAACACCGAGAGACTATTATAGCGTGAGCTTAAAATTCGCAGTTGAGGAGCGGCAAGCGACACGTCTGCCTCCAACCAATATCCGACGACGACCATTTTACGTATTTATTCAAAATTTCGAAAAGGCGGCGACCTAGATCAAGGATTGGGCTACCCTACACAAGTTCCTTTGATGTATTTAAGTCACTAATCGCAGAGCACTCGTGATTTAAAAATATGTCAATTTTAAGGATTCTGTGCAGGACCCCCTAGAGTGTAATAACTGAGAAGAAGAAAAAGGCCACAAGCCACCGTCAGCTATGTTCTTGAGGTGGTTGGTCATGCAATAAGTATTCCGAGACGGGAGAAGACACGAGATGGACCTTTAGGCATTGAATCATAGTACGAGTAACATAGTAAAATAAGGCTAAATTATTGTAAAAGGGAGTAAGGTGATAGAGTTGCTAGCGTTGCTTCTTCTCAATACTAGCCCACTTATTCTAATCTAAAATCAATGGTAGGGCTAAAAGTATACCGAAACACGTAAAAGCTCGTTTCCGAAAACAACTTTTTTGAATAAATTATCAGTTTGAAATACAAATCTCACCTTTTCCGTGCAGCACCCAATAAGTCTGACCACATTTGGATGCGTTCCTAGATTCTTCATCACGATCAACTCCTGTAATAGATCGGTCTTCTCTTTCTCTGACGCGTTTTCTTTGAGCGTCTTCACAGCGACGATTTGTTCACCTTTTTTCCCTGAAATCAATTATGATACTTATAACATTAACTATTTAAAGATCAAAATTGAATAAAATGAGGAACGTGAGATAATCCTGCTACGGCTGACCTTTAAAAGTAGAATTTTCTTATTAATCACATTTATAGAATTGAATGTTCCTAATTCATCGGATAAATTTGATTTAAAATATTCTAGATTTCAGATCCTGAATACCAGCCTATATTTAGTTAGTATTTTGCCGAAATCCATTTGGAAATATATAAAGCACTAACTAGAGCCAAATTATCTAGACCATAATAAATTAATTTGTTAGCTAATAATTACAAATTGCGTGGGTAATTTTTATTAGTTAATAACATAATTATAGAGTAAACCTAACTATAATATTTTTTATAGTAATGTCCATTCTTAGCTTCATTTATTAATTAAAGTTTAAATTGTATTAGATTCATAATTTATTCACTTTAATATAGACATTGAGGAAAACATTAAAATTGCGTACAAATATTTGGTTCGTCAAGGAAAATTTTGTGTGAGAAAAAGATTTCCCTAAAGTTCGGAAGTATTATGGATTGTTTTTACACAATAGCAAGAATTTTGTATACGATTATTGAATACACGATTTGGAAGGAGCAACGTAATATTTTTATGTGTAAATTTTCTTGCATGTTGAAATATGTGTAGGTTATAACGTAGAAGGAGATACATAATGTTTAACGTTATTCAATATCCACTTCTAAATACCGATGAGCAAAGTACACAGAGGCATTACGGAATCTAGTCAAACATTTCCAAATATTATGACTTTTAAACTCATCAAATCTTAAGCAGTCGCATGAAAATGGATTTCTATTGTGTCTCGATTCGTTGATACTTTAAAAGTAAGCTTCTCGTTTAAAGGAGTTGGCATTTCCTAGGGTTAGATTAGTAAGCAAAACGTCTTCTACGCATTTTCTTTGTCTCAAGACATTTTCAGGCGGCGACATTTCACGCAAGTATTTCGGTCAACGTGATATTAACCGGAGGGTGTATACACCTCACTGTGATCCAGTTTTATTATGATTTGGGTTGTGTTAGTGTTCCTTAACTGCGCACATAATAGCGGAACAGAATGCCAGATGACGCGTACGAGTAGCCACATATTGTTGTTATGTGGCTTTATTTTGTCACGCCTATGATTTAAGCAAGCCTTTTGTCTTTAATGTGGCCTTAGGAAGCGCCATATAGGTAAACTTTTTAGGTAGAAACCCGGCCAATTGAGAGTGAGCTCGCGTGCAAATGCTGGTTCCATACAAATTCAATAAGGAAAACTTTTTAGTCTTCCCTTACCTAGAGCTAAAAAAAATGCTCCTCCGGAATTGCAAGCAAACTAACGATAGAGCTCGTAAATCACTTTCAGGATCAGTAACCAGTTTTTCGATATCTAAATATATAAAAGGAGAAACTGACTGACTGACTGACAGATCAACGCACAGCCTAAACGGCTAAACGTAGGCACTTGAAATTTGGAAGGAACGTAGCTTAGGTACCGTAGAGGTGCACTAAGAAAGGAATTTCCGAAATTCCCACGGGAACGGGAATTAGCGGGAAAAACGGGATTCACGCGTACGAAGTCGCGGGCGGCCGCTAGTCTTGTATAGTTTAGAAATAATCGAGTGAGATCACTTAATTATCGTTTCCACCCTGTATACTGGTATATGGCATTATGCAATTCCGTTTACTATCCACTACATTGTGCAGCGAACCCTCAAAAGGCTACTTACGAATTTCGGTCAAACGAATTTTCTCATCAGGGCTTGAGGATTAAAAGTAGCGGAAAATGGTGCGCAAAAAATAGGCACGGCGAACTGTTCATTATTTTGTACGTACTCATGCAGAGGACAGCTCATCATGTAAGCATTGTGGACTTTTATGTAGTTGGTTTAGGTGCTATTTTAGAACAAATTGTATGGATGTGCTGTTGACTATCCTACTAATCCTACTAATATTATAAATGCGAAAGTTTGTATGGATGTCTGGATGTCAACATGTTTGTTACTCTTTCACGCAAAAAGTACTGAACGAATTTTGATGAAACTTCCAGAATAACATGTAGGCTATAATTTATGACGATCTGTGACAAAATAAATTTCACGCGGGTGAAGCCGCGGGCAAAAGCTAGTAGATATTATAATAAAAACAGCTCTTAGGACCTCTGAACTCGGAACAAAAGCATCTGCGACTAATTACCTCCTAACACAGGAATATCTTAAGATGACCCTCGTAAGGACTATTTTGCTTTTGCCTAATTTCCTGAAAATGACCCTAAGACCTACTAAGTTGAAGAAATTCCCAAGTAATTTTCGTCAAAATGAAGATGACCTTTCATTACCTAGTTGATTAGTGGTAACAGAAGAAACAACGCTAAATTTAGCAGGGCGTGGACTGGACTGTTAACCATCTTTTTTTATACGTCTGGCTAGAAATTGACTAAGTTTATCTTTAGTTAATTCCGGTGGCTTGATTGCCTAAGAAATATTCTTCTTTCTCAGACCCGAGATGATTGTTAATAATGAAAAGAACACGGAGTTATTTTTAGAAATGTTACTAGCCAGACTTTTTGGTATTCTAGAATAACTTAATTAATTGTCAGGAAAAATTCCTCCAAGTCTAGCCGTTTTCCAGATAAAATTAGCCTAGCAACCATGCCACTTATCACAAAGTATTTTTATTAAAAAAATCATAAAGTAAAAGAATACCAGCATAATAAGCTAATTTATTAGCAAAAAATAATTAACACTATTAGTTTTACAACCAATCTTGAACTTCTAAATAAAAGTCTTGAGGTTGAGACTACTATTCCTTTTTATTTTGACTAGCTTTTGCCCGCGGCTTCGCTCATCAATTTTTTTTCAAACTTTTGCGTTTTTAATAATAGGTAAAAGATGAGGAAGTAACTTTTTCTTGGTAAATACAGGGTGGAATTTTGTAATGCCACCTGGAGGGGAAGTACTCTTAATATTGTAGATAGACAATTTTTCTCAAAGAAAACATTCCTTTATTTTTTATAAGAAAGAGAACTGCATTCAAAGATTTTCGAAATTTTTTCGAAAATTCACTACCATACCATACATTTTTCTGTGCATAATTAAAATAATGTAAGATTTCATGGTTTTCCTTTTATTTGATTTATCAAGTTTGTTAGAGATTTTATCCTTATACTTAACCCTAACGATGGATGTAATAAAAATACAGGGTGTAATTATTAACCGATTTTAGTTGGTTCGATTCCCAGGTGTGGCAAGCAAATTTTCGGAAATCTTTGAATGCAGTTCTATTTCTTTTCAAAAATAAAGGAATGTTTTCTTTGAGAATTTTTTTCTATCTACAATATTAAGAGTACTTTCCCTCCAGGTGGCATTACAAAATTCCATCCTGTATACCACCTACCTATTAATATGAAAGCTTTCGTTAAAAGCATAACTATTTAACTATTACTCGTATACCTGTTTTGCAATGCCTGAAATTTTGATAACGGGTACCCGAGAAAAGAGTACTAATTATTTTCGTGAATTAGACTACGAGCAACAAGTAGGTATATCATAATCATTATTGGGAGAAGTCTTTGTCCAGCAATGGACGTCATTTGGCTAAAACGAATGAAATAATAATCATCCCCACATTTTACAATACAATTAAAAAACATGAACTAGAATTTTTGTAACAATTACTGGCATCCATACTCTTTTCTTAAGGCTCAGTTACACCACCTAATTTTGATCGTAACTGTAACGATAACCGGTATTTTTTAGGAGTTTGACAGATTTTTGACGTTTGACAAAGTTAAAGTATGATGATGGTGCAATCCAGCCTAAATCATTAAGGGCTGATTTTACCATCGTCGGTTAACTTTTAACTGAAGAATAAGTTTGGCACATTGACAGTTTCAGTATAGGAAATATGTCAAAATGACAAGACTATGCTTCATTTAAAAGTTATCCGACGATGGTATAATCAGCCGTTAGGATCTAGCGAAAGTAAACATAGGATAGTACCACAGATGTCTCAGCCAGACTTAACTCGTAAATACCTAACTTCGCAGACAGTTAAACTGCTACATTTACTCAACGGACCTAATGATATTGGACATTTGTAAGTAATTTTGTAAGATCAGGACTCAAGAGATCAAGTTTCAGTGAAGCTGGACGTAGAATGGATTGATTAAATTGAAGTTTTCTAAATAAACTAAATGCAGACAACATCCAAACTGATGTGGCATCTTATGTCAATTTTTTTTAAGATTATTAGTAATTTGTTAAATTATACAAAATACTCGAGTTAGCTCCTCGTACTTAGCTAAATATGCTTGTATCACGAGTGAGCTCACCACAATAGTCGAGCGGCGGCGGGGACCGAACCCGCGTTCCCCGGATCACGAGTCGGCGAGTCCGACCCCTTCTTCACCGTTCGACTATCGTGGCTTCTTAACGAATAAGAAGAAGAAGATCTAAATTACAAAACTACTAATAAATAAGCGAATCTGATAACTCACCATCAATATCTATAGCCTGAGCTCTGAACACCTGACCAAAGGCACCTTCTCCAATGATATTGAACACTCTCAGGCGATGTCGCGGGAATTCCCACTCATCTGGAGGCTCCTCTTTGGTGATCGTAGTTTCTTCGGAATGCTGTAAATCCAAAACAATACTGATGAGGTTTTCTGATGATGAAATTCTTTAAATTAAAGTCCGTAAGCATAATAAAATTATTTTGATGATATACGTATAAGTTAGTTGTCATGAAATAGAATAGGTACCTATGGTCATTTATGAAGCAAATAAAAACAGTATAATCCCCAAAGAAATGTAATATGAAATATTGCGGTTTCGTGATAAAATGTTATTTTAAATTAATGAGAAGCAAATACATACTCGTAAATACGGTAAAATGCGAAATAATGATAATTTCGAATTCAAAATTAGAAATTAAATACAAAAATTTAAATAAATATGCAATTAAATAAATTACTCGTACAAATATTTGCTAAGATCAATGAATTACTCTTACTTAAAGTTATCAATTTATAACTCTGAGACATTGAATGATAAGCATTTGAAGAAGTATCCAGGCCAAAACTGACCTGCAAGTGATTGTTGTCCCAAGACTCGTATCTATTCGAGTAAGTCCGCGGTCGGTTCCACAAGTTTATCGAAGAATCTTGGAGGACTATACCGCTCGAATCTTTGCTCTGTGGACGACAGAGATTAGTTAATTATAGGCTGTTAAAGAGTTCAGTAGTTTCATGACAGTAGAAACTCCGCGAACTATAGTCCATTATTCAACTATTTTTATAGGAAACGCAAGTTTGAATGTTGAACAATTTTTTTTTTCTGAACTTCAGGAAGCGCTGCTTTGGTGTGGAATTTGCTCATCGATTTGTTTTCTTTTACTGATTAAGAGCGTTTACGCCGTTTGGCANAACTTGACTTGCCACGCTAGACGTAAACGCTCTTAAAGCGTTCAAACTCTAGTCAGTAACGGTATAATGTTAGTCTAGCCAGAGTTACGCCTGAACACACATGGATGAACTAAAAAGTAATTATCTTTACAACATTAAAATTTAACGATTCTAAGAATAAATAAAACTTTCGAATGCAATTTTTAAAACGCTTTTACTAAGTCACGAATCAATAGCTGGGATTGTATCGTTACTCAAATCATGCATGACGAACGTTTCTCTATTCTTTGAAACACTAAAAAACAGTTTAATGATGGCCGAAATCAAGTAAAAAATATTTTACATTCCAACTTACCATGTCATCTTTTTTCGATTTTGTTTTGGTGGAATTGTTCTTTCTCCACACAAAAACTATGACAGCAACCACAATGACCACAAGGCCTCCGATCGCGATAACAGGTATGACTGCTAACGGTACATCGTTTCCTAGTGGCTGTTCATCACTTGGTTCAGATATATTACCAGTGCTGTGTCCTTCGTTGTCTAACTTCGTGAACTTCTCAGTGACGTTGTCTGTTCTTTTAGGTGGACTATTAGTTGTGACTGTTGTTGTATCAGGTACAGTTGTCGGTACTTCTATAATTTTCTCCGTTGCTTTGGTTGTGCTTTGCGTAGTTGTAGGGTACTTTGGTGGCGGTGGCAGTGATGGCAGTTCCAGGCCAGGAAACTGGTGCGATGTGCCAGGAAACGGCAGGTACGGAGGTGGATGGGGTATCGGTCTCTGGCCCAAACTGTTAGTTATTGTTGCTAACACTTCTGTCCGTTGAGGTATAAACCCATCGAATGCTGTCACCCATAATGAGTAGGAACAGTTTTCCTGTAACAAAAAATTCGTAATTGAATTCAGTTATATGTTATTATCATCATAATTGTTCTCTGTTTAATTGTTCTCTGAGTGAATTCGTAAGAGCCGCAGTTTTTATTGTTAGTTATAAGTAGTTAGTGTAAGTAGATACAGTGTACCTGCTTACAAAATAATTTATGCTATCGCATTAGGTTATTGACCTGTAAAGATAGTTTAAGTTGGTGAAAATAAATAAATCCCATCAAAAACAATACTTGTCAAAAAAACCAAGTCTCGCAACTCAGTTGTTCTACGGTAAAAAGTTGTGAGATCCATGTAATACCAAGTCCAGGCCAGGAAATCTTTAACGTTTTACATAAATTATTGACTTGGCCATCGCACTAAATAATTTAATTTACACGTGTTTTCATGCGATGGCCAAGTCAATATATTTATGTAAAACGTTAAAGATTTCCTGGCCTGGACTTGGTATTACATGGATCTCACAACTTTTTACCGTAGAACAACTGAGTTGCGAGACTTGGTTTTTTTGACAAGTATTGTTTTTGATGGGATCTCATTTCTTTTTGTATTTTGTAGACAGCAGTTATGTATCTAGAAAACTGGACCGAAATTGAAAAATTTTACTCGACTTGGCGGTTGCACTACCGTGCCCCCAAATGTGAGTCAGTCAGTGAGTGACAAAATTAAGTAACTTTGACCCGTTCTAATTCTTAAATTACTGGTTCAAATTGAATGAAATTTTAAATATACCGTGTCTTTACAATGCCTGCATAGCTAATGAAAATTCAGCCTTCTAGTTTTATCCACAACGAAGTTACAGGCGGTCGAAAATGGCCTGAATTGCTTCGAGAAAAGGATGGTACGGCCGTGCCGCTATTTTGCTCGACTTGGTGGGGAAAATTTTAGCCTATACTAGTCTACAGCTGATAAACCTCCTCGAACACGAGCTCCAATTATTGCCATCTATCTTTTTAGATTAGTTGTTGGTTCATACTGCAGGGAGGTGTAAGTTCTAGAGAACTTTTTACAAGTGCCATTTTCTAAGCTACAGCTAAATTTATGACAAACTCCAAAATAGACTTCACCTTATCTTTAAGCGTATCGTTGACAGTGACCACTCCAGTCTGCGGATCGATGGTGAAGGGGGCTGGAGGCCCAGAGGTCTCCAAGCCGAAGGTAACATTCTGGTTCCAAGTCCGTTCCCTGTGGACCCTCGTGACTACGGAGCCCACAGGGTCTGTGGACATCGCAAACCAGTTCCGATCCACCCTGGTGATGGCTGGGATGTTGAACTCAGGAGAGAATTGAGCTGATGCTGGAAAGAGAAAACAAATTATGAGTAAAAGAATACGCTAAAAAAATTGACATAGAGAGTGATCTTACAGAACTACACTTTACGCAAAGTGAAATGATTATATCGGTATTTTTTTATCCACAGATTCCCCATGAACCTATTTTACTTCCTTTCACTTCATTTATGCAAATATAAACATTTCCTCGGGAAATAATATAAATTGAAACAATAATTTGATGGTTTCGTAATTTCTTTAATTATACCGCTCATACTCATAATAAGCCGCGAGCGATTCTAAGTCAGAAAATGAAATTTAATGGTCTTCCTCATCCCCAACTCAACTCTAAGAAAGTAAAATATTTAACATAAAAACTGCGTACTCTTGTCACAAACTTTAATCAAAATTCCTACGAAGGAAAAATAAAATACTTTTATTTTATCAGAACAGACCATAACACACAGGTTACCGGTAAGTCACCGAATAAAAAACAAACGACTCGCCAAATAAAAAATAGGTATTTAAATATTTTTCTAGTAGTTCTAGTAGGTACCCATAGTACAAGCTTTGCTTACTTTGGGACTAGAGGCGCAGTGTAAATTGTCCAAGGATATTAATTTATAATAACAAGTACGATTTTACAATGTATGATGAGCTGGCTTCTTCAAGAATTACTTTTTTCGTTGTAGCTCAATGAAGAAGGTTAATCTTTAAGCTTATTACTATAGAAGTATATTATAGGTAACTTAGGACAAATGTAGGATTTATGAAAGTACTAGCTTTTGCCCGCGGCTTCACCCGCGTGAAATTTAGTGTCACAGATCGGCATAAATTATAGCCTATATTATGTTATTCTGGGTTACAAACCATAATACTGTAAAGTTTCAACAAAATCCGTTCAGTAGTTTTTGCGTGAAAGAGTAACAAACATCCAGACATCCAAACTTTCGCATTTTTAATATTAGTAGGATTTTGTTTTGACGTGCGGTAGTAGGTATTGTGAAAAGTCCTTACGTAGGATGAGCTTATGATTTTCCTATGACAAAGATAGCTTTTATATGTAGGTAATTTAGTCAAGGTACCGACTTGGTAAAACGATTCGTTTGAAAAAGTATTTTATAAAATTTTATCAGTAGACAACACAACATATTTTATTCGTTTCGTATTTTTGTTCTTAAACAAAACTCTACCGAAACGGCTTGACCGATTCTTATAAAATTGTGTGTGTATAACTATTCAGTAGGTCAGAGCATAGGACGTTATTTATTTATTTAATAGTTTAATGCCAAAATCTTAATATAAGTCATACTTAATAATGCGTTCTCATCCAGTTTACCTTCGAGTTATGCAGAAAAAATAGTATGGCGGTATAACAAAAAAAAACGGAAAAACAAATATGCAAACAAAATAATACAACGTTTTATGGATTAATTAGTGTTAAAAAAACTCTAAATGGTTCTTCTTCNCAGGTTTATTTATTTATTTATTTATTTATTTATTTATTTATTTATTGCACATAATGGATACACTGTATATTGTTAGGTACTAGGTACTAACATACAAATGCACACCCGGTTGGGCACAGCAATACAAAATAACAGTTATTAAATATTATTAACAATAATTAAATTTATAAATCTTATACGTCTACCTACTTATAACTTTTATAGGTAATATATAATACAATTGCAAGTACCTAACTTAAAATATTATAATGTTAGACATTACAGTTAAAACAATATTTACTTATTTATCAACTTAACATAAAATACTATGTTTTTCTTCCATGAATTCCTTAACATTATAAAAACTTTTACTTATTAAAAATGTCTTTAATTTATCTTTGAATATGTGATCTTTAGGTATATTTTTTACATTATCAGGCAGCTTGTTATAAATTTGTATACAACGGTAGGCAGGACTATTTCTGAACATTTCTGAATTAGGAGTTGGAAGGAGAAGTTTGTGTTTTCGTCGGGGATTTTGATCATGTTGAAATAGGCAAGTGTGCTTTCTGATAAACATTGCCGCTTCTAAAATGTATATGGATGGTAAAGTAAGTACTTTCTCACTAATGAAATGAGGTTTACAGCTTACTCTCTGCTTTATATTAACAATTATTCGTAAACATTTTTTTTGACTTATAAACAGGTCTTTAGCATCACAACTGTGTCCCCACATGATTATGCCATAGCGCAGCCACGCGTACGCGTAGGCATAGTATGCAGTGAGGGCGGATTCTTTCGATGAGTTTGTTTTTAGGACACCTAGAGCATAAATAAATTGGGATATTTTGGATTTAACTATTTCGACATGGTTTCTCCAATTTAGGTGGGTATCTAAAGTTATGCCAAGGAGACTGAATTCATTGATTTCTTCAATATTTATTGCTTCTGCTACTGAGCTAAGATTTACTTTTTTCTTTTGATGTGGTTTAAATTGAATTATTTTGGTTTTTTTATTATTTATCTCTAAGTTGTGGTTTTGGAGCCAGAGTTTTATTAAATTATATTTTTCCGTTATAATGTTATTGTAAGTATTTATTGGGCAGCTATTTGGTATTTCGAATAATAGAGAGACATCATCGGCATAGAGTACACTAAGGGTATTATCGCATATTTTAGGCAAGTCGTTGATATAAATTAAAAAAAACCGGCCAAGTGCGAGTCGGGCTCGCGCACAAAGGGTTCCGTAGCAGCAACAGTTAAATCAACCTATCTCAAAAACTATAAGAGATACTTTGATCAAACCAAAAATCGTTGAAANATGTCCACTTTCGCTGTTTAAATGCTTTTCTAAATGGTTAACTAAACAAAATTTCCCCAAAGTGTGCACAATAATGCTGTTAACATTGTTGTTAACAGCATTGTTGTTAACAGCATTATTGTGTTCCGACAGTTAGAGGTAAGATAGTCAATTCCTCCGTGGTTGAGGATTCCGGGTGAAGCTCGCTTCCACCTTCGGCCTGATCATCACTTACCATCAGGTGAGATACAGGCCAAGAGCTTTCTCGTTGTGGATAAAAAAAAACATCCATAGGCGTGTGATGATTTTGTGTTTTTCCACTTACATAGTTTCACGCATATGCTATGCATAGTGATAAACCGTGAACAAACTTTAATAGCTACACCGTATTCTCACGGAAACAAACGAAAGTATACCTATAAACTAATCAATGGGCTACATACAATGGTATTTAGTGAAAACTGGTAATGGAAAATCGTATGGTGTTTGTTAAGTAGAACAAAGACGCTCTTACACCGGTAATTTCATCAAATTCCTTTAGGAAAAACAATTCCGATCATTATAATTTATGCCACGACCTTTTAAAGTATTATAGTATCACGGAACAATTAAGACAATCTATTATTACTACTACTATTTTGAATAAAATTACCCAAGCATTTTCAGCAGTTGGAGAAATCAAACACAATATTGCTAAAATAATGGCAGCAATATCATGGAGATATTGACGAGCAAGAATTTGTTTTTGTTCAATTTACCAGTGAGGCCATTATGGAATCTTTATTGTTATAACCTTTAGAAATATTTTATTCGAATATTGTTAGAGCTAAACAAACGGGTCTTGCATCTGTCGTAAAACATCAATTGGATAGTTACGTTAAATTACTATACGAGTATAAACAAGAAAAACATCTGTGCATAAAAAAGGGTCACTTAAAAGTGACAACATTGCATGTAGAGCGTAAATTAAAACGATATTAAAAGAGCAACGTCAGGGAAATATCAATTGAGATCGACAGATAAAGTTACAATTTCTGGACCGTCGTAAAAAAGAAGGTTAATTAATTTGGATCAAATTGCATTTTCAACAATTAAAATTTACGTATTAATTGATACTTACACAGTACACACACTTTCAAATGTTATGTAACTTGTGGCTTAATGTCTTTTGTCGTAATACAATGCTTTTAGGTAAATATTTTTAATTATTATGATAATCTTACTTCTTACTAATATTATAAACGCGAAAGTTTGGATGTCTGGATGTCAACATTTTGTTACTCTTTCACGCAAAAACTTTACAGTATTATTGTTAAGATTAAGATTTTGATAAAACTTTACAGTATTATTGTTTATAACCCAGAATAACATATAGGCTATAATTTATGACAATCTGTGACAAAATAAATTTCACGCGGGTGAAGCCGCGGGCAAAAGCTAGTAAAAATATACTTTCATGCTCCGAACCCAAGAAATTGATCCGGTTAGGTAATTTTTAACAAAAAGCTTTGCTTTCTTTATCCTGGAAAATTCAGCTATCGGATTCGGCTCGAAAAAGTAGCATACGTCTACAGTTTGAAAGAAACAAAGAATAAAAGTAATTCGTTTGGAAAGTCACTACCTATGTAGGAAGTCAAAACTCTGTATTTTATGTGATTCTAAATATTAATTCATACTAATACTCGTAGGTGACATGATTAGGCTTCAGTCTGTCTTTAGGTACCTACCGTATTTTTAACTTTTCTACATTAAGGCTGAGTTGCACCACCTAACTTTGACCGTAACTATAACGATAACCGGCGTATTTTGTATGGAGTTTGACAGATTTTTGATGTTTCTTAAATTCAAAGTAAGATGGTGCAACCCAGCCTAAGGCTGAGTTGCACCACCTATCTTTAACGTTAACTATGATGATAACCGGTGCTTTTTGTATGGAGTTTGACAGATTCTTGACGTTTGTCAAAGTTAAAATAAGAAAGTGCAACCCAGCCTAATTTCACAATTGAATGCTTTCAGGCTGTTCCGCAAATAGAGTAGTGCTATTGCCTAGAATAGACTTAGGGTGAGTTGTACCACCTAAATTTGACCGTAACTATGTTTATAACCGGTGCTTTTTGTATGGAGTTTGACAGATTTTTTACGTTTGTCAAAGTTGAAGTATGATGGTGCAACCCAGCCTTAGTGCTTCGATTTCAAACTGTCTAACTCACGCTCAGTTCAAAAACTAGTAAATTAAATAAAAGTCAGAGTCAATTGACTGGATTACTTGTGCTACTTC